GTTCTCTTTATCTAATCGCTTTTGCTTCTCGCGTCCTACAACCTGCTGCAAGGAATTACACACAGATGGACAGTGAGGCCTTAGCGATTATTTGCGGAGTCAAGCATTTCCACCAGTACGTGTGGGAAAGAGGGTTTGATATCCACACCGACCATAAGCCACCTCTTTCGCTTCTGGATGAGGAAAAAGGAATCCAACAGATGTCTTCGCCTCGGATGCAATAATGGGCACTACTTTTGAGCGCCTATACAAACTTCAGTATGTAAACGGACTAACTAATACCATTGCCAATGCACTTAATTGTCTCCTGCAGCAGCATGGCACAAAAGCGAATGGTAAACCCATGGAGTTTGGCAATTTGATGCAACATCTTGAAAAGACACTCATCTGGAGTGACGTGATGCGGCGCCTGACGGACCCGGACCCTGTGTTGTCGATGGTGAAACGATCCTTAATGACCGTATGGCCTACGAGCAAGTCAGACGAACTGAAACTATACGTCTGTCGGAGTTACAAGTGGAGTCTATACAACGGGTGTATATTTCGAAGCTCGCGCGTGGTTCCACCGGAAGACCTAAGGCCTCAGTTGTTGAGAGAGCTGCATGAGGCACACCCCTGGGTGAACAGGATGAAGACGCTGGTATGTGGTTACTGTTGATGGCCGAACATTAACTAGGATATAGGGCGGCTGCTGAAAAACTGCGAATAATATCAAAAATGCCGAAGGCGAATATATCCTAGACAGATACGTCCATGGCGTTGTTCGGAGAGGTCCTGGCAGCGGGTACACGCGGACTACTTTAACGTAGTGAATGGGTTGATGTGCTTAATTTTGATTGATTCCCCTTCTAAATGGATAGAAATACATCCAGTTCCACATGCGACTTCCGCAGCAACAGTTGCAATTCGCGCTCCATATTCGCCATTTTCGGCAGCCCAGGTACGGTATGCACCGACAACGGAATCCCATTTGCCAGTGAAGTATTTCTACAGTTCTTGGGTCAAAACGGAACCTAGTCTGCGCCGTACCGTTCCGCGTCGAATGGAATGGCAGAACGTGCAGTCCAGACTGTTAGGCAGTCTCCTCAAGCAGACTCATGGAACTTTGCAAACTAAGTTGGATGGTCTCCTGTTCTCTTACTGCCCGACACCGAGTGAGTCGATAGGGAAGTTACCCGCGGAATTCATGTTTGGTTGGCCACTACGAACGAGGCTGCACCTACTATTTTCGAACGCTGGAAGGAGAATGGAGGAAAAGCAGGAGAAAATGTGTGCAGATGGAAAGATGTCAGAGGAAATGTGTCTTAAAGATTTTGATCCGGTGTGCTAAAGACTGCCCCACTTAACAAGATGACAAGCTGCTGCACTCAAGGAGTAACCGAGCGAAGCTACAGCTGGAAGACGGTCGTGTGGTGCGCCACCATTTTGACCACATTCGGCCACGCTCAAACGAATCACAGGAGCTGGATCAAAAAGCGACTGCTACTGACCCAAAAACGGAGAGAGAATCTTCTTCACAAAGCCAAGAACCACAAACGGCAACGGTGCAACCACAATTATGACGCTCAAAACGCATGCCTAAGCCAAATGATCAGTATCAACCAGGAGGAGGGAGAGGAAGAGGGGTGTCACGTATGCACTTACGTATCGATTCGTAAACACATGCCCTTAGATATGTGGTTGAGAATGACTTTGCCATACTTTCCTCATTTCATCGGTTTTCCTTACCGGCTTCTCTAGCCGTTGTAACGCAGGAAGCTTTTAGTAAATCGGTCCCATACTACGCGTACACCTTCCGTCCGGTTTACCGGCTAACGGTCATAACAGGTACATCAAAAACAGAAGAGGTCCTAGAACACTACCTTGGATCACGCCACTTATGACTTTTTACTCGTGGAAGTGTTGCTTAGTATTTCAACTGCCTTATGCCGACCAGAAAGATACGATGCTACCCAAGAATGTAAATTGCCAGATATACCAAAGGAATATACTTTCGATATTAAGATTTCCACGTGGTACCCGATCGAACACTATGTATATCAAGAAATATGGTGATCGGACGCTTACCATGGCCAATGGAACAAGTAACGAAGTTTAAAAATTGTACGTGCCAAGTAATACATGCCCGTGTTCTCAGAAATCCGTGCTGGAAAGTACTGATCAAATTCCGGGACGATGGGAATTCAACCATTTGACTTTTATTACCCTTTCCATTGTTCTACACAGAATGGGGGTATGGCTGATGGGCCGATAGCTCGTCTGTAATCGACGTGGGCCACTTTTATATTCTGGTGAAACCAACGCATATTTCCACGCATATGGAACAACCCCAGACTTCATGGATAACGTCAAAATATGTGGAAGCTCTATGGGGATATCAGGGCCGCCCAATTTGAGCATAGCAGATGGTATTCCATCCGGGCCAGGATAAAGGCTTATTCGCATTTATTATATCAGCGTTTGTATGTCCGATTGCTCAAATTCATCCTTACAGATGTGATCTGCCGTTCTGTTGGTGAAGTTTACGATCGGTACTATGCCCAGTTGAATGAAAAACGATGAGAAGTATTCATTGAAAATCTCACACATCTGATCCGGGTTTGCAAAAAGGCTGTGTTTGGGTAGTAGAATGGAAGGTGTATATCATGCTTGAAGTTGCTGCTGAGCTAAAATAACCTAGTCATTTCCTTTGGTTTATTGCAGGAGGATAAGACATTTGTCTCATCTCTGAGAAGTTTTAAGGACTGATTTGTTTCTATGGATGACCTCATTTGATTGTGCTGAATTAATAGACTAAATTGTTGGTCTTTTTAAGTCTATTTTGTAGCTTCTTCCGTTTTCGTATTATATGCAACTGGACAATGGTCTGACTAGTTTTGAGGGAAGTAGGCCTGTGACGCATCAGGCAGAAGACACCTAGACACGAGATTACGTTTTGGTATAACAGGTCAAGTGCATGTTGTGGTTCAGGGCAAGGGAAATAGTCCTCATAGTCTAGAGATCGCAGTTTAATTGCTAACTCTTTCCAGTTAGTCACGTGATAGGCACGAAAACTTATAATCTTTTCGAATACATCTTGGTTGTATGCGATTCCTTCGAAGCTGATCTCTGTTATGTTTTGGTTACTCCCAGGAAGATTGCGGAGAATGCGTTTGCTTCTAAAACTTATGTTTTTTGTCAAGAGTAGGTCTGGCAAATGTCCACTTCTTGCTGGGGATCAAATTTGTTGAATCAAATCAAACGTACGGATTTCTGCAACAAAATGCAGGTATTTTATTGGGGACCGTGGTCGGTACCAGGAAATCTCAGGCATATATAAGTCTCCATCAGTAATTTTCTGATTTGCTGACTGATCAGAGGCATATGAGGACTTCCAAGAAGCGATCGATATCCGATTTACGACAGTGTGGTTCTTTTCACACACGAACAGTAAGGATGGTTTTGCACTTCAGTTAAATGTTAATTCAAACAGAGTCCTCAAGGCCATCCAGAAGTGGATCGCACACATAAGTTTCATTGTGCTTATTGTCCACATATATGCGGCAACCGCCACCGCGATGATCTATGTGACAACAGGCGGTAGAGTACAAAGCACTGAAGAAGCAGCTAATGCCCTGCGGCTAGAATACTCTCCAATTTTCGAACTCGCAAACTCTACCTGTCCCATAATGGCATGCACATTACCGACTCCATTGTTAACTCATGTAATTTTTAACCCATCAATTGTGCTATGGGAGTTACTCTCACTGTGTTATCATAACTCTCCGGGAGCCGACAACATCCGCCTGAAACACTGAAGGCTGCGGCCAACAAGCTAGCTGAACAACTGCCACAGTTCTTCCAAAGGTGCTTGGATTGACAACAAGTCCCCACTATGTGGAATCTTGGCATTATCACCCCAATTTTTAAACGCAGTAGCTATTCAGAGCCTGCAAACTATCACCCACTGACTCTCTTCCCTGTGTTCGCAAAGATGATGGAAGCGGTCGCCGCTGAGGTTTTAATGAACTACCTGGAAAAGTGCAACATCTTAGCACCGGAGCAGCATGGCTTCCATCAATACCGGTTTTACACCACCAACCTACTGATCGTACGAGGTATTTGGACGGGAGCTGCTGATGATGAGGTCGAAGTTGACGTCATCTATCTGGACTTCACCAAAGCATTCGACCGCCTGGATCACCGCAACCTACTTCATCGGCCATAGAGCTACGGAATCGGAGATCCTGTGATTGGTTGGATTGGCAACTTTCTTCAATAACGGAGACGTCATATATGCGTAAGGAAGCACTCTCTAACCCGATTGAGGTGGTATGTGGTGTCGTGCAATGCTTAGTGCTGGGACCGCGCTTATTCCTGGTGTTTATCAAAGACCTGGCAAGTTATCTACTCACATTTCATGTTTCTCGCTGATGACTTCAAGATGTGGATGGCGAGTAGCAACCATGAAGAGAACGATCGAATCCACCATGACCTAGATTGCATTCATGGTAAACGAGACATCTACTTCAGTTGAACAGAGCTACGTGAAAGATGATAAATCTGCGTCACCAGCCGGTGAGTGTTTACAAGCTTGGAGAATAGACCTTGCATAAGGTCTCTCAGGAGAGTTACCTGGCTGTACACGAACGGGGTACAGGAAGATCTCAGGTGTACAAATCATGCAGAGAAGGCGACGAGGACCGGTAATCAACACTTCGGTCTGCTTTGCAGAGCCTTCGGTCGGTTTAAACCCTCCAAACCCCCAAAACACTTAATGCCTACAAGCAGCATCACGTGGAATAAGCTATCCAGGGGTGGCAGTCGTGGCAGAAACAGGATCTTGTTGCTCTCGAGACTCCTTAAGCAAAGGCAAACAAAACGTCAGGGGCCTCTTTCATCTTTCCTATTAGGTTAGACTGAAATCCAAACATTTATAGCATTCGATGTCGACTTTTGCGGGGGGAGCTCGTAACGGTTTACCATATTCGGAAAAACTTAAACCACATTTGCCGCCGCTGCTGGAATTGAATCACAACACTAACCTAATAGGTCATACTCAGAAAATGAGAATACGGCATAGCTGGCTTAAATGCCGTAGAAATTTCCTTTACCTCCGCGTGTGCCAGCCTTGGAACGCTCCCAATCTGCCGATATTAAATAAACGAGCTGACGATGTGTTGTCTCATTTGCATTTTATGACTTGTTAGCCAGAGGCTACAAAGAGCAATCAAACGGTGTCTTACCAAACTCCCAACTAACGGCTTTATGGATTTATACTTTTAATACGCAAATATCTCCGCTATTCTACATAAATCTATGGTGAGTCCACCAAAAGCTCTTCACTTTATCAGGCAATTTACTTTTCGAGATCATTTCAGTCCCACGCGACTTGTTAAGGATGGTTTTTTTTACCCATAATACACGATTGTTCCATTGTACTGCTAAAGCTGCCGAAGTTTGATATATAATAGTGGGTCTCAGAAGTATGTTCGTTTTCCCAATTCGCCGTGACAAGCACAATGTCAGGACAGGAGACAAACAGTAAGAAACGTAGGTGGTGCTTTTTCCTGTTGATAGAGAGGTAAGCTAAGATATCCATGTTACGTAGGCAGGTTTACTGACTTCTTGTATATGGTTGGACAAATGGCATCATCCCACGTAGTGGGAGTACAGTCGGAATCCACACCGTTGATTTCAGACAATTTTGGAATAAGTTGATGATTCGTTGGAAGAATTGCAAGCCTTGCTGATTCATTGGGGCTGGCGGCTGTGCGTCCGCTGAGAAATTTAAGAAAGGAGCTTGGTATGTACAGGGTTCAAATGGCTGAATGTAGTTTAGGACACTAGTTGAAACCGCCTGTCTCAGCCTTGTGACAGGTGGTATGGTAGCAAACATAATCGGTTTGCCTATTGAACTATAAGTAGTTGAAAGTTTAAATGTCAGGTGCTATACGGTGTCAGTCCGTGGAGTCTAGCTCACTGGTTGTGCTAGGAATTCACGGCAGACGAATGAGAAAGAAAGAGTTGCACAGGGCGGGGATAATCGGTTCGTCTTTGTGTTTGATTCATTGCTGATGGCAATCTCCCTTTCAAATTGGAGTATTCCGTAAGACTTTTAACACTTCGTCTGTTGGAAAAGTATCAGTAGTGTTAAAGGCTATGAGTTTACTCTTAGGTGTCGACTTCCTTAGCTTGGTGCAGTTAATGGAATTGGCTTTATTGGTGTTGTTAAAGCTACAGCGCGTGTCAACGGCGCTGCGAATTTTCTTGCTATTTATTAGCTTCCAGCGTGTATCCTGTGTGGCGCTGATACGGCTCATGTTGTCGAGGCTTGCGCTAGTTGTAGCAACAGTAGGTTGAGAACATGAGTGGCCTCTACGTATATCTGTGGATAGCATCGGAGTTACCACAAATTTTGTCGCGGTAGTACTCTTTGTGATATTATTAGATCTCTGGATGGCAGTACTATTGCTACTGAAGATCGGTTGTATTAGTGGGTCGTCAACCGCAGTCGTGGAATCCTCTAGGTCAGCTGCGCAGAGAACATTCGTGGGCATATCCTCATTACATGCAATTCGTAAGTCAGCTTGCGAGGAGTCAGGTGCGTTATTCAATTTCTTTGGAACAGATGTACGTTTCCGCTCAACTGGTGTCTTATCTGCACTTGTAACCAAATGCTTAAGTTCGGTTGTCGCTTTTATAACGGACATATTCCGTATTAACGATATTGCAGTTTTTGTGTCTTGGAATATCAGTAGCACCGGGCACGTATGCGTTAAGCTCTTCTTCTCTAGACGTACAGCTAGGAACTTCATTTTGAAGCCCGATTATGTCTAGTAGTAATTGTCTCAGCTTCTTCAGAGGTAGCCTGTCTGGGACAGTAAACGTTATAACGTTACTTGTACGGACAACCCGTTCAGACACTACAGACGAAATCACGGAAATAAAGCTGCCGGCGATATGTAAGTGGTCGAATGACGGATTAGAGAGTGGGTTAGTTATGTGGAAAAGTAAATACATACTAGGTATCAGAGGCCTGGCAGTAGCCAAGCTTTCTAGCAACTCGGTTATAGCTCTTTCAAGTCCATTTATTCTGTCCTGCAATCCAGAGCATTCAATGTTGTCCTGTGTACTGCAGGGAGCATGATTATTAACGCTTATTGTGACCGCTGTGGTCAACGCAGTAGCTTGGTTGGTGGCACTTTTCTGTCTCATGGAAGGCAACTTTACGGCTGTCCTGAGATAATAGTGGCTTTCTCACGTAAGATATGCAAGCGTTTAAATGTCAGATGAAAGATGGTAAAATAGAATAGTACTACAGGCACGACGGTCACTTGCAAGGCCTAATTTAACTTGGCTCTAACCGCTAATCTCGCAATCAGAAACTGGGTGAGGTGGCACAAAATATGAAGCAGTTAGCGGCCTAGACCAAGTCCGTTTGTCCAGCGATGGATGAAAGGGGACAGGTGAACAAAATATACCACCACCAGTTTTACGGCAAGGTAGTTTACTGGGCTGAGGAAATGCAATCAAACCCACCTGCTCTGACTTGAAAACGCCGCAGTGCACGTTGGTTCCATTTCACACGTCAGTCGAAACACACAATCAGATGACTGCCGGTGCTAGTTGATTGGCCCGAGTGCGTCGGGCGATGCTTTGAACGCGTGGTATTGATCCCTGTGTCTCCCTTAATGGGAAAGGGTTACAAGGTCACTTGTTACTTCATCACGTCTGCAGCATTGGGAGAGATGCTCTCCAAGAAAAATGAAATATGGTGGAAACTATTGGAGCTAATGGAAAGGACCAACGATTATGAAGCAAAGCAGTAGACAGTTGTTCTGTTCACTTATTATAAAGAATATAAGTAAGCACAGATCAATGTTGAGGGTCATTTTGAATTATATGTTGTGTGTATGGATTGCGACACGCAATCTCAACCTGGACCGCGATTCCCATTGAAGTGAACATTGGTCTTTCGACCACGAGGCGATAGGTGACAAATGGAATTGCGCCGAGCAACTCAGCGCAGTCGGAAAGTCGTGCGACAAGTAAACGTCGGTAACAAGTAAAAGATCAAGTATTCTGTATGTGAAAAAATAGTTTGTGACTCATGCGGACAGACTGAGTTATCACCTGTTTCAAATGTAAATCTGAATGGACAAGTAAACTTATTTTCACGTTTTGCAAAATAAAGTCAAATACAACTATTTTTCAGTTACAGAGATGTCCTACGCATTGTTTTAAATAAGCACATTGAAAAATTTATGAATAAAAGTTAGAATAAAGAAATACAGCAGGTATAGCGGCAGATCCGTGTTTCTAGTGTTAAAGTGCTGTGGTGGTAGATAGAAGTGATCCGGCTGCAAAGAGGTGCATACTTTAAACTGATTTTCCCTGCAGCGCACTCCGTCCTCTCCGGCCATTTTTCTGTTGGGTAGTGCTGTTGAGTTGCACTACTGTTTCATAAGCACAAAAAACAAAAAGTATTCTGTGAAGCCTCTTTGCATACCCATTAGGAGTCCAATGAGTTTGAAGTCTTCACAGAACATCCAACATTGCGGCGAATATCACTTGTATGCTTCCGTAAATCTCCTTCATATTAGTGGCATGCAAAAGAGGCACAGTTGGGTACAAATTTTCATTGTGGAGCAGTATGGCCTTGGAAGAGTCGATGAACAAACGCCATGCATCAATGATATACCTCTAGACAAGCTCCTTCATCAGTCCTTCCATGTCGGAATAGTAACAAAGGTTACTCTCGTGTCATAGAAACCGGACATGTTAACACTTCGTTTTCTGTATATAGTAACCGCATTGTTTGAAGCAAGCTAGTATCACTGCTGCAGCCGATGCCAGCAGCTCGGCCTTGTCTTTAAGCAAGCCCAAGCCATACAGCTCTGATTGTTCAATAAGATGTGTGTTGACAACACCAGCTTCAAAAGTTTCACATATGTCCGAATCAGGTGAAGTTGACGATGCGGAATCGCTACTCATCTTCAGCGACGTGTTTACTGGAGGCAGTGGCATGGGTAAGGTACGATCATGAGGAATATGTCGAATAGCTGATGGAAAATCGAGGTAAAGAATTTTGTCCTTATTTCAGTTGAAGAATACAATGACACTGGCTAGGCATAAGTAACCGACGGTCGTGTGATCCCTCGGCTCCCTCCAAATCATGGGGATTGCAAAGGACATCTTACCTTTGCCCTTGAGCCACTGAGGCAAATGAAGATTGCAAGACACCTAAACAAAATACGGCGCCCACTTCTTATCCTGATCTCCGAGTTTCATCCCGAAATATGCGTGGAATGCAGACCTCCGTGGTGAAGAAACGGGTCTGCATTGCGATTTTCTAGTAACCTATCCACAGACGTAACAAGAATGATGTTGGTCATTGGCACACCAGCATGTTTCAGCCATGATCAAGATATCAATTCAGATTGATGAGAAAATGCAACCACAAGACCAGATGCAACTTTAATTCTAAGTTCGGTACTGTCGTTACCATTTATTTCGTTTCTGAGCCTTTGGAGATCTATTCTCATAGAAAGCAAGGTTACATAGAAATTTCTAAACAAGTGTTGGATTTGCGGAAGGGTTCTGTCAAGCATACAATGTTACCAGTAGAAAGAATATGATTGACATTTCAATGGATGAATCAATCAAACACTACGCTGAGTTGGGGCAACCATGGCTTGTCGAATACGCCAAAAGAAACGAATGGATGGAGAAGAATTGTTTGATATGTCGCTGAGTTAACACAAGTAATGTTTGTACAATGCCGTAAGAAGACGAAAACTGGTAGATGCATACATTTCGTATTGTCTCGTTAGTACCATTAACGATAACTGGGATGTAACTGTAGAAACAGCTCCGGGTGTGACCAACCAAGCTTGAGGTGTAAAATGAATGACGGAAGTTCCACCCTTATGTCCATGGCAGTCTTAATCACCCAAATAATTGTTTTTGGACACACTGGGCTGGCTTCATGCGGTTTATTGTCACAGCGATGATTAGGGTGACGTAGCACGATTGTGAAAGTTGATCCGATTTGTGTCCGGTGGCGCGTGACCAGTAGGTTACCTACTGAGGAAGCTGGCAGCTTGCGCAAGCACGAAGATTCACGTTGAACCCATCTCGGCATGCGTTCCTTTATTCGGAAAGTTAAACACCGATTAGTTCTGCCTATGTAACTGGATTCACAGTCACACATGAATTGATATATGAAGTGTGGATTGGCCGCAATCGGCTGAAATTTCTTCGTGGGAAGAACAGGCAAGTTAAGAGTTCGATAAAAGACCACAGCGTAAGCAGCATGGTAACTTCGCGGCGTTGCAGAAGTTATACCTTTAATCCGTCCTTAACTATCCGAATAAAGGAACACATGCCGAGGTGGGTTCAACGTGAAATTGACCACCATCTCCGCCCCCTTCAGGGCGTTTGCTGTACGAAGTCACGACACTAAGATACACGGTATGTTTAGAAGACGGGTAAAGTGGTGGAATTGGTTGATCACGCAAAAGGGAATCGGCTTGGGTAAATCTCGAGGGAGTGTAAATTTGGCCTGTTCGGAGTTTTCGTCAACTGAGTCACAGATGCACGTACACAACTTCAAGTTCAAGTTCAAGCGGGACTGGAAAGATAGGATTATCCCGTGCGTGTTCCTTCTTTAGGGGGTCGTTGAACCAGTTGGCAGACTTTAAAATACTGATGGAGCTAAAACAAACACCGCATCACACCCTGTCCAACCAATTAATGCCCACGTATCTTGCTCTAGCAGTCCCTGCCGGGCAGTTACGTAAAGCAACAGAAAAAAGTAAACTCGGAATGCATAAAGAGAGTGAAAAGAGCTAAGCAAGTAGAATGCCAAGATATCTGAGTCATTAAAAAATAACTGAAAAGTGAAGGCGAGTCAGTTAGGAAAAAGGAAAGGTTTGGTGTTGCCACCCAAGCGTATCGAGCTGGCGCGCAAACCCTCAACAGTAGGTTCCCAAACCGCGTGCGTTGGAAGCGAACTCCAGTGGTCTGTGACTCGGTGCAACAGAGGAGTTTCCGTCCCAATCCTATCAGACCATGGTTTATGCAGTTTCGGTGGGTGACCGCGGAGATTAGGTAACGTAGCGGGATTAGATAGCCCTGACAATTCCGGGCCGATCTTACCCGTCATAAGACGATAAGTGAGAATCAGGTCCCCTCTTATCCTTCGGTAGTGCATTGAGTACATCTCCAAACTGAGCAAGCGTTCAGGATACGTCCGTTCCCGTAGACCCCGCACTAACCGAGTGCCTACTCGTAACACCTTCTCCAAGTCCATTTTCTCTCGGTTAAGACATGGTGGACAAGCTTGGATACAATATTCCAGCTGGAGTCAGACGAACGCCGAGAATAGCTTCACAAACAAATTGACCGTTAGGATTTCAAAAGAGCGGCAATTAACCCGCATCATACGAAACCCCCCGACAAGCAGCCTTCTTCCAATTGTCGCCAGAATGATGTACTGATGAGTGTACGCTGCCTCAATCAACCTGCTGAGTGACAACAGGGAGTTCACCACCGCCGACAACACATCGGGTGGGAGGACTAACAGTTCCGATTCGGAGAACAGAGCACTTGGCCCTATTTATGGGCATCAACCATCAGGTAGACTATTCCCAGAGTCATTTCCAGCGGCACGCTGAATTGCCTCAGGACCGCCGGGATATCTACAATATTCCAGAGCTTAAGGTCATTAGCAAACATTAGTCATGACACTTTTAGCTCTCCCGGCAAGTCATTTACATAGATCGCGAACAACACTGGCCCCAATACCGAGCTCTGAGGGACGCCACTAAGGACAGCTTGTCTGAGCGATAGGCTAAGCCCCAACCGGACGCACTGTTCACTCCCCTCAAGGAAGGCAGTCACGCTTTGAAGGGCGCGACCAGATATACCGTAAGATCTCAACTTTAGTGAGAGTCGATGATGAGGAATAATGTCACAAGCTTTCAGAAACTCCACGAATAGCACGTCTACAGCGTGGCCACTGTCTACCGCTTCAGCCCAGCTTTCACGAGCTACAAGTAGATTAGTCTGACATGAAAATCCTTTGCGGAATCCATGTTGCGCAACACTGAGAAGGTTACATGTTTTCGGGTGGTTTTCCACTAAATCTCTTATCAGCTTTTCAAATAACTTGACTACTACGCTTGCCAAACTGACAGGCCGGTAGTTCCCGGACAGAGCGCTGTCACCGCTCCTTCCATTCCGAAGGTAGGATGCAGCTGTCAAGCGATATTGAGAACATGCAAGTGAGAGGGCCACTCAGCTCAGTGGCCAATTCATGCAACAGCTTCTGTTGAATTGAATCAGGACCGGAAGCTTTAGAGGGATTAATGCCTTGCAGTAGCTCGTAGACCTGAGTCTCCGTTATGTTAAATTCAGCCAAGCAAGAATCCTCTGGAACTTTTGAAACCAACTAAACCTGTGGTAAAAGGTCTCCCGAGCGAAGACCCCAGTATACTGATCACTAAGTATACAAGATTTGTCATAGTCAGTTTGCGCAGGGGTCCTGTCTGCTCGCAATGGTCTGACCTACATAATC